TGCAGGAGGGTAAGCGTAGGTTGGCGTACGGCCGCAGTCCCATAGAGAAGGACATGGGCTAATCTTCTACTAATCACACGCAGCGCCTGTCCTTCCCAGGAGCTGCCCGATACGGCCGTGCACGAAGCTGTACGTGCCGGCCGTTTCTTGGGTAAATGAGGTCTTATGCTACCTCTGTTTGATTCTTGGAATCCTCAAGTGGCGCTTCTTTGAGCAAATAGGGATCTATTGATACGTTATTATCAATAATGTTATTCCCACTGGATCCCTAGTATAGGGTGTGGGATATTTATGAGAAATGACCCCTATAGCATTGGGTTAAACAACACAATATTTGCTTGGTCAATGGCACATATAGATATGGCCATCCTTCTGATCTACATATGACAAATAGGATATGAATCATCAATTGATTAAGTAGTTTGCTTCACTACTATTTTATTCTTTTTACGCTCCTAAGGACACAATGTAGGTACAAGAAAACAAGGCATTATGTAAATGTTGTATATCCGATTCAGAAATTGGTTATAATATGCTGCGGTTACTCCTTTTTTTTTTGCTTTATAGATAGATCTACTAAGCACTAAAAGGTCTGATGAAGCAGACTGTAATCTGTGAAACACATCACTTACTTCTACAGCGCCGTATCAAGTCCCGTGTTATATTGAATATTGATATTTGTATGGCTGGAGGATCACTCCCAGACCTTGGACTCTGACATTCTGGAAGACCAAGTGGCCAGTGAAGCTTATTGCTCATAGCATTTTCATAGCAGTGTTCATAGCATTTTCTGGAGCGCAGATTGTTACATTGTCTGATTTTATTGGAAGACTTTTATATCTTATGTAATACAATTTGGATATTTTTGTATATTGTTTTTTTGTTGATGAATACTTACCTCATATACTTCTAACCCCTTCAGGGCCCATGTCAGGATAATCCCATCATTAATTCTGAAGGGGTTAAACAGACTCCCGCTGGCTTTTAGCGGTGATCGGCTTTACAGTAGAAGCGATTCTGGCGGCTCACCCCCCGCTGCCACTACTTTGGACCCAGGACCGGCTCACCGGGTTTCGTCAGGAAGCTGGGGAGGAGATCAGTGAACGTCCGGTCACCAATTTCCTCCCCATTCTATGGGACCGGGAGCGACACGTATTGCATCACTTCCGGTCCCAAAGATGCTCTTGAAAGCCAGCAATAAGCTACTGAGTGTGCTCTGCACTTTAATAGCTTCTTTAGAGTGTAAAGGTGACACTAGGGGTCTTTTGGACCCCCAGTATCACTTTAAAGAGTACCTGTCACTGCCAATAAATTATCACATGGGGGGTAGTGAGGGGGGGGGGGCCTTTTAGCCCCTCTTATTAGTGGCAACTTAGGATGGGGGGTAGTGAGGGGGGGGGCTTGTAAGCCCCTCTATGTGATGGCAATTAGGGGGGGGGGCTTGTAAGCCCCCCTATGTGATGGCAATTAAAGTTAAAAAAAGTTTTAAAATAAATAAAATGTAAAAATAATTAAGTCCCCCGGCCCCGCAAACATGCATCAGGTGTAACTACGTACAAAAAAGACGATTATGCTACACATTTTTGGTATCGCCACACAGGCCAGAGTGAGAGCAATAATTCTAGGGCCAATATTTATGCGCATCTCTAAACTGATGACCCGTAGGGGCTTTTAAAGCGTCGTCTGTGGACGTTTTGGGGTACTGAATTCACCGACACACACAATTTTAAACCTTGGCATGTTGAGTATCTATTTACTCATTGTAACTTCATCTTTTACATTTCACAAAAAAAATGGTTTTATAAATGTGTTTTGGGGTACTAAAAATTTAACATAAGTGCATTTTTCACAAAAGTTTTGGGTTTGATAATAAGTTGCAACAATGTCGTGCAACAAACATTTGCAACTGCCACAATTTTATTCTACAGTGTCTTGGCTTTCAGAAAATATATAATGTTTGGGGGTTTTAAGTAATTTTCATGCCCAAAATGTGGATTATAACATGGTGCACAAAATGAAAAAAAGGCCTTTGTCCTTAAGGGGTTGAAGTCCATAATGGTTACTTCAGTAAAATGGTACAAAAGAACTAAGTAGCAAGGATTAGCAAGTAGTGTCTGCAGAAACACAGCTGCTTTGGATGCATGCTTGTCAGAGACACTGAGATCTTCAATCTTAAATATTTCAAGAACTGCAAGGATCAGACCGTTTATAACATTTAAGTGGGGAGAGGCTGTATCCTGACTATTCCTCATCACCTAAGGGACAGCAGGAATCAGTGCATGAACCACGCGCAAGGTTCCTAGTGAGGCAGGTGAAATGCAGACACTTATTGCACCTGGGATTTGAGCCGGGTCAAGCCACTGTGATCAATATCTGGACCTGGTGTCTGGTATGACGTATACAGAGCAGGGTGGTTGTGTAGTGCCAATCTGAAAAACGGTATGAGCACGGAGGCCAGGAAACACTGTGGCAGGTGGCTCGTCACATCTGGGGTTCTAGCATGGCACACAGAAGCAAGATGGCAGTTTTAGTGAATATCAGATCTAGGAAAACAGTATGACCATGAGCAAAACATTGGCTACTGTGGTCAATATCCAGGATCTGGGAGACTAGTGGGACACTGCCAGCTAGGGATGAACTGATGCCAATACTGGGCCTTTTAACAAGTACTCGTGCAAATACCCCAATACCAGCGCTTTAAATTTAAAAAACTGAAGCCGGCACTGTAAACAGGCGCCGGCATTCACACGTAGGGCTGCTGAGATCCCCAGTAAGGTCCCTGCAGCCTTCCTGTTTACCACAGCGCCTGTTTACAGCATCGGCCACACATCTCCTCCTCCTTCCTGAAAACACGCTACCACACCCCCGAGACCCCACAGCCCTCTCTTCCTCCCACACAGCCACCTGTGATCTTCCGCTGGAGACATCAGGCCGGCACCCCGGAGCAGCACAGAGTATGAAGCTTCACATATAATGCATGGGATTTGTAGTCCTTTATGGCCAATTGCCATTGCTGTGTAAAGTCTGCTTTAAAAGTGTTAGGATATTTTAGAATGGTGGCAAGGTTTGCTTATTAGACAGACAACCTACCCCCACCCCCCAAAAAAGTACTGTATTGAAAATGTTCACAACACTTTACCTAGGCACTGGAAGAAACAATTGGAATGTAAAGCAAATACAAACATTTGTGGAAGAATGGGTCGCTCTCAGGAGCTCAATGACTACAAGCATGGTACCGTGATAAGTTACCACCAGTGCAATAAGTCCATTCATGAAATTTCCTTGCTACTAAATATTCCACGGTCAACTGTTAGTGGTATTATAACAAAGTGGAAGCAACTGGGAACAGCAGCAACTCAGCTACGAAGTGATAGGCCACGTAAAATGACAGAGCGGGTTCAGCATATACTGAAGCGTACAGTGCGCAGAAGTCGCCGACTGTCTGCAGAGTCAATAGCTACAGACCTCCAAACTTTGTGTGGCCTTCAGATTGGCACAACAGTGCATAGAGAGCTTCATGGAATGGGCCGAGCCGCTGCATCCAAGCCTTACATCACCAAGTGCAATGCAAAGCGTCGGATGCAGTGGTGTAAAGCACGCCACCACTGGACTCGAGAGATGGAGACGTGTTCTCTGGAGTGACAAATCACACTTCTCTGTCTGGCAATCCGATGGACGTGTCTGGGTCTGGCGGTTGCCAGGAGAACGGTACTTGCCTGACTGCATTGTGCCAAGTGTAAAGTTTGGTGGAGGGGGGATTATGGTGTGGGGTTGTTTTTCAGGGGTTGGGCTTGGCCCTTTATTTCCAGTGAAGGGAGCTCTTAAGGCATCAGCATACCAAGACATTTTGGACAATTTCATGCTCCCAACTTTGTGGAAACAGTTTGGGGATGGCCCCTTCCTGTTCCAACATGACTGCGCACCAGTGTACAAAGCAAGGTCCATAAAGACATGGATGAGTGAGTTTGGGGTGGAGGAACTTGACTGGCCTGCACAGAGTCCTGACCTCAACCCGATAGAACACCTTTGGGATGAATTAGAGTGGAGACTGTGAGCCCGGCCTTCTCATCCAACATCAGTAACGGACCTCACAAATGCGCTTCTGGAAGAATGGTCAAACATTCCCATAGGCACAAACCTTGTGGACGCCTTCCCAAAAGAGTTGAGGCTGGTATAGCTGCAAAGGATGGGCCAACTCAATATTGAACCCTACGGACTAAGACTGGGGTGCTATTAAAGTTCACGTGCGTGTAAAGGCAGGCGTCCCAATAGTTTTGGCAATATAGTGTACTGTCTGTTCTGCAATGGACCGTTCTTACCTTCCTCCTTGCAAGCTGCTTACGCTGCACACTGAGAAATCATTATTTGATTCATTTTTCAAAATGGCCTCCATCTCCTTCACTTCCATTTAGCAAGACCGTCTGTCCACCATGGGTGCCTGTTCTCCCCAGCATGCCATGGGCACCCTGGTCCCTCCAGCATGCCAGGGGCCAATTGGTCTGCCCAGCACGCCACAGGCGCCCTGATCTGTCCCATCCGCCATGGGTTGCCCATTCTGTCCAACCACCCACATTGAGGTGGAATGTTGTTGCCGCTTGAAGGATTCCTCCTCCTCCAGGTGTCGAGCAATAGCTATGATTTACAAATTCAATTCATGATGTCACACTGTCTCAAAGGCTATTTTATAAAGAACACATTTTTAATTAACCGAGTCAGCATTGCTAACTATCCTGGTTCAGCTTTACCTTGATTATTGCCCGTTCTCACAGCGCTGCCATGGTAACGGGCAAACAGCACCAAGGAACCCAACAACAGAATATTACACAAGGCATGTCTATAATACACTAAATCCGCCAAAGAACCAAGAACAGCATACATGTAATCAGCCGCCTCCCTCCCAGCATTTTACTACCAAATGGACACGTGTGCTTTCAAAACACACTTCTGCATCATGCATTTTACCACCATGCAACACATGCGTATTAGTCTAACCCACTCACTTTGCCTCCCTTTTAAAAGGGCGCTGCGCCAATTCCACGTGCGGTCGCCACCACCAGGACACAAGGCCAGTTAATCCAAAGGGTTAGTAAAAAGAATGTAAAATAAATAAAAATAAAATCACTACCAATAAGGGGGAGGGGGCTGCCTTTGCTTGCAGATGGTGCACACACATAGGATTGGGAAGTCACTCATAGATAACTATTAGCCAGCGAAGCAGAAGGCAATAATACAGGTGCCGGCGCCCTGCTAGTGTTCTACGCCCACCATTTATAAATTGGCGAACGATTTCCCCCAAAAAACATCAGCAAACAGCTGCCCCATTAATTCAGCTGCACAGCTTTCCTCTGAAGCTTATTTGAGAGGACCCGGCCGGAAGGAAGACAGGCAGCCGGTGGATGAAAGTGCGTTCCAAGCCTCGCTCCGACCTGGCTGTGGCTTGTCATGACCACGTGATTCGCCTGTGTCTTTCCTGCTGATGGGATGCCGTGTTCTATGGCAGTTCCCTGATACATTGTCGCGGGTTAGTGTTCTCTTCCTTGGACACTACAACTCCCAGAATCCCCCTCGACGACCGACGTTCATTCACAGGTTCAGCGGTGGAGAAACTTTTGCTTTCTAAGTGTGTAGACGTGGGAACGGGGCTGTGAGAAAAGCTGGTACCGAGACTCCATCGTTTAGGGAGCCGGAAATCTTTTCGTCGGGGTGTTGGTTTACATGTCCAGCATGTTTATGTTTTATTATAACAAAGGTCTAGTCCTTTACAACGATACATTTTTGCACAAATGTCTTAATAGCGTTAAATTATAACTTAATGCAAAGAGCAACGAGGGCCTAGAAGCTGCGTGAGGTTTTTATTGCTGTGTTCCTGTTGGGAAGATTTACGCTCTTTTACGCCTCATTCACATTGGCACTCTTGTGTTTATCTTATCTAAAGGTAGGAACAACATTATGTTTTCCAGATGACTTTTTTCTGCATTTAGACATTCCTTCCTTAGCACTCATTCACACCTGAGCGACTTCAAATGTGCCCGTTTTTGTGCAGTATGTATATAAAGTGTGTTTTTGCGAGCAGATTGAGACACGCTAATGTGATTGGGTAAATACGTGTAAAAATGCATTTTTTGAGCATTTCCATTGAAGTCTATGGGACCAAGAAGCGCAGAATCTGCCAAAAAGAAGCTCATGTACTTTTTTCCAGCGACGGGAGTTTTGCTATAAGCGACAAAACGCTCCAGATGTGAACATAACTATAGAAAATAATGGCAATTTTTGGGGCAGAAAAAGCGCTACAAAACATGTAAGGCTAGTGCACACCAGCCCAAGCCCGTTTCAGCAGGATTAGGTGCCGGAACGCAGTGGATCGCATCCCGGCTGGCTCACTGCGTTCTAGGGTGTGACGGTGCATTGAAGTCAATGGCACCGCAGCCATGCCCCCTGACCTAAGTGCGATCACCCGCACTAGAATGCATGGCACATCAATGTCTGCGTCCCGGTCTGGTGCGATCAGAAAAAATGCTGCATGCACTAATTTTTCTGACCGTACCGGAACACTGGCCACGCGTTCAAGTGCGTGCGATCGTACTGCAGCCAAGGAGCATGGCTGCGGTGCCATTGACTTCAATGCACTTGCCACAACCCAGAACGCAATGAGCAGTCTGGGATGCGATCTGAGTGCCGGTACGCACTGGGGCTGGTGTGAACTAGCCCTTAGTGTGAATGAGGGCTTAAGGTGTAGGTATGTTTACTTGTGTTCAGCCACGTTTAGCACTTCTAATCGGATCAGATCCCTTTCATTTGGTTCAAGCGGTGTGCAAGTGATTCTCTAACGCTATGTAATCGGATCCTAGACGCACAGAATTCTATTTCCTCTAAAGGCAGCTAAACACAAAGTCTGAATGATACAACTAAAAATCATGTATATGCATTTAGGAACACAGGTTTGACACAGCCAATGTGAATGTGGCCGAATTGTCAATGTCACCTGTAATTGAAGAAGTACTCCATGTAAAACTTTAATTATCCCTTGCAGTGAGTCTACCCCTACACTGCAAGGGTTAAGTGCTTGTTTTTGCCTAGGGTCAAAACACTGTGTATAGGACATGAGGATGCCAAGGGACATACCATCTCTGCAGGGAGCACTGTCACAGCTGACACCTGAAAGGATCAGATGAGTATAACTTTATTTTTTACTCTACCCAAAAACGAGCAGTTAGAGAACTTTTGGGAGAGTAAATACTATAGCTATAGTTCTCTTTTAACCCTTGCAGTGTAGGGCTAGCCATTTTGGTCTCGGGTGTTCGGCCTCATTCAATCACTTGTTCATGTTCCCGTCAGGAGATATCCCCGTGTGGCTCTTCTTCATCATAGAGTTTTCGGTTTCTCTCCCCCACAGCAGACCTTGCTCACTTAACTCCTATTGGCTGCGAAGCAGACTATTACGAGAGCATGAAAGACGCCCAGGGCTCCATTCCAAGGTACGGCTTCGTCTGACCTCAATGTGCATTGAGGTCAGGACACCCATGCGAAGTTTCTTGCGATATGGAAGGCCTGGATCTTCTACGCTCTTCCTATGTTTGAATGATCTAGTTTTTATAGTCTTTACCTGATTTCGCCCTGGAGCTGCTAGTGTGGTTGGGGTGATAGGGACTCTGGCTCTTTACTGTGGTCTGCATCTTTTCCTACTCCTTTTCATATCTGTAAAAAAGTCAAGGTAACTGGACTTGCTGTATTTTTCTTGAGGATGCTTCACTGGTCATCCAACCAGCTTTCTCAGTTCAGAATGACTTGTACAAAAACTGACTTTTACAGCTATACCATGACCTGAATAAATGAGAACCTTCACAGACCTCCCTTTCAGTCTTTTTCAACCTTCTTTTACCTTTTATTTGACCCCCCCCATTGGCTCGCCTCCTCTGCCTCTATTCTTTTTTGCCTTGGTGTGGGAAGAGCCTCTTATCTAGTGTGCATTTCTTCATTGGTTTTTTTTATTCCCCCTGAGATGAGCTGGTTTTTCTGCAGCGTGACTTTCAGATCCTTCCACATTTGCAGTTTTAACTTCTTGGGCTGATGGATCTAACGACGACAGTTTTGAGACTGGGGTATTGTTGTTTTTTGTTTTGTTTTTTTGTCCATGCTTGACTGGTTACTTATTCTTTGTTCACTGTCTGCATCATTCCCCTGCGTCTGTATTTGTCTTTTGTTATCACGTTTTGAAAATGTAATAAACACTGTTGAAAATTCAAATTGTAGGTGGTTTATCAGAGGCAAAACTCAGATGGTATACAGTAGGGATGCTCCGATACCGATTCAAGCATCGGTATCGGCGGCGATACCGAATATTTGCATGAGTACTCGTGCAAATACTCCGATACAAAAAACGAGTACCTGCCATCTTCAAGGACCCGAAACCGCCGTTAAGACCGCCGGTCTTAAAAAAGTGGTATCGGAGCATCCCTAGTATACAGGGCAGAAAAAAAGCAGCAGCAAATATGAAAGGCTGTGAGAACATAAAGGCAGATGATTAGTACCCCAGAGAGAATAGAAATATAGCCTTTAAATCCCAGCCAATAGGTTAGGCACATACTAGATAGGTGAATGGCAGAGGAAGGATGCTGGAAAACAAGTGGGAGAGAAAATGACAAGCAGATCCTTCTCAGCAGCCAGCATCTGATGCCCACCATTGAAATCTGTGGAGGTACTGCCCGGCTGCACAGAACAATGCCATGTCCTGCCACCTTACTTGCAGGTGCAGCTTACTCTAGGCATGGCTGTGCGTTCCACTGGTGAACAGAATCGCAGGGGGCTGGGTTAGCCATCATCTGCCACTTTCCCTAATACTACCAAGCAACCTGAAGAGATCTAAGGGACCCTCAATAAGAAACTTATTAGGATCAGAACATGAGGGTTTCAATCCAGAGAGGCTAGGAACCTGGCTGGCAAGACTGCAAGACCCTGTCCTGGTAAGGATAAAAAAAAAAAAATTAAGTCCTATTCATCTCTTGAACAGGACCCAGATGCCAAAAAACAAGGGTTTTAGCTCTAGATATACTTTAAAGTGAAATTGAAGGATAAGTTTTTTCCCCTCCCTTCCAATGTTAATGTAAGCACTTACCTTCAATGATGTCTCTTAATCCAATCTTCCTCTTTCCTGTCATTTTCAGCCTGCTGCTGCGGGTCTCCGATCCAGCGCTGACTCCTCTGTGCTTGCTGGCACTTCATGTCCCACAGTGTCTGCATGCGGGTGCACGCTGTCCATAGACTTACCTTGTGTCTCTCATCGTCTCCCGGCCGAAAGTCTGAGGTGCGCATGCGGCCCAAGATCCTTTGCGGCCGCCCAAGATTTTCAGATTTTCGTACGGGAGCATGCGGGTAAGACATAGGTAAGTATTAAAGCGTTTTTGTTTTAACTTTTTGAATATTTCTACTGCTTGCTAGCAGTAGATATATGCAAAAAAAAAACAAAAAAAAACGAGGCTTTAATTATACTTTAAGCGCACAGAGTGACATGGACACTGCATTTCTGATATCCCAAATGATAACGCATTCTGCCAATTTATATATAGTCGTGATGAAGAATCAAAGGAATCTAGAACATGGGCCACCTGGGAGAGCAGTGAACAAGAGTTTTCTAGATACAGAATCTTCTCCTCAACATATAGACTAATTGTATATGTAAACGGGGTTGGCACTCATAAATGTGGACTGGGCTAGAACTTAATCAGACCTCTATTGCCTAGTAAAACCAGTACAATTATAAGGGCCAACTGTTGGGTACCCCTTTTAAAGCTCAAAAGGAGAAGAAATAACACACTTTATTGATATGGAGGCTAGCAGAGAACGATCGAGTGTCCAAACCCAATAAAGAAGTTCCACTGATGCAATTAAGTGCCTTAGTGGATATGTTTCTGTCTTCTTTGTTATTTTGATATATTAACCTGGATAGATCAATGAAAGCTATCAACACTTTTGATAGCCAAAAGTCCTTCATTTTGTTTTTTAATCTGTGTTTAATTCTGAGCTTAGATGATAGTAGCAGCAAGCTGTGGGATCCCAACCTGGTTTAAAAAAATGTTTTTTATTGGTGTCATAAAGAGAAGGATGGAGAAAACTAGATTGACCAGACTCTCTAAACATATCCAACAGTTAATCCATATATTTTTTTATATACCTCATCTGGGAGATCATTAGGTCCTGCAGCCTTGTTGTTGTGTTATGAGGATATAGCATTTTGTACTTCATTCAGAGCATTAATGAAATCTAATATGTCAATCTTCTCTTAAGAAAAGGTGGGAAAGTAAATGTCAGATTTTGCAACACCTCCTCCACATCTGAATGGAATTGCTGCTGATACATTATCACTGCAAATAATAGGTGAAAAAAAAGTGCAGGTTGCCCATCTGTAGATAT